AAAAGTCTATTACAAAACATATGGAATTCACCATCTGTTCCATTAGAACAAATTTGTTGTGAATCATGCTTTTCTAATCAAAAAATGATCATGATGCTTATTTGATAATTCTGAAACAAAAAGCCATCGCAAACTTTTTCCAACTCAAGGAGACGATTGCCATTTTACATAGGATCAAACACGAAGCAATGTATTTCTTTTCAAATTACAATTTATTTGAAAGAAAAAGGGAAAAAATGGCGATTCATTCCTGCTTACTAGTAAAATTTATTGAAATTCTTTATTCCATTTCAAATCCATGATAGCAAATCTTCTCTGGGTCCAGCAAACTATTAACTAGTTAGGCAGTTCTATCTGCAAGTAGATGGTATTTTAGGAAAAGCAAGTTGATATATCATTGTAAAAAATGTGGTCAATGATTTGCTGGAATTTATTAAAAAAATTAGTCTTAAAACTTTGTAATCGCGCTATGTATTTAAAAAAGACTAGCGCGAATGTTATTTTCTTCATTAAAATACAAATGAATAAAATTAAAAAATAATGAAGAGTATAAAGGCCATGCATTTATTTACTACATTCAAGCTAAGAAAATTAAACATTGTTACTTCAAGCCGAGAAGACTGTATTAAGATTTTAAAGTTTTTTTTTTTTTTTTTTTACTTTAGCTTTTAAATCAGCTACTGTAATTGCAAATTTATTGTAAGTGAAAAGAAATCTTTTAAAATCAATTAGAATCTTAATACGATATAACCACTAACGTAAATAGAAACTACAGTTTCTAATGTTAAGAAATAAGTTACTAATTCTTTAGATTAAAAAACAGTAACTTAAGAGATAGTTTGCGCAGAAGTAAATGAAAGCGAAGTTTACAGTGTAGCATTAAATAGCCAAAAAATTTTTGAAATATTTGAGAATGATCTTGTAAAAAAAGGGGCATAGAGTTTTCCTATGTTTTCTGAAACCAAAATATTTGTTTGAGAAAATAATTTTATATTTTAGATCAATGTTTTTCAATAGATAGATCTATATTTTAAGTCATTTTAAATTCTGCATGATAGTAAACGTGTACCTTGTTAAAAATTGTGGTTTTGTTAAAACTCTCTGTTAAATTTAATAACGGTCGATTTTCTAAGACCTGTAAGTCAACTGTTAATACAAGTATCAAAACGATATTTTTACAATTCTTTAAGCAAATAGCACTGTGCTTCCACCGAATTTTGATTTGCATGGCAAATCGAACGGGGGAAAAAAAAAATAAACAGAATTTGTTTTGCTTAGAGACAAAAATATCTGCTTGATAAACTTACACAAAACAGTGAAATTGATAGTTTCAAGACTCGATTATTTTTAACATCTGTATTATTTTTCATAGCATATAAGAAGAGAAAAGTCTGTAGAGGTTCATGAACCGAGACTGATTCCTTTTTGAAGGTTTAATAGTTTGATATATTATTTTAACTCGCGTATTTGTTCTATTATTTTCTACACTTCTTTGCCCTTGCCCCCTTCTTTTGAAAAGACTCTTTATTCGAAAAGGACGTTTAACATCATAGTAAATTCGCATTCCAATACTTTGCATACTTTGAGATTAATTAAAATGTCTTGTTCTAAGTTAAAAATATCCGTATTTGGAATTTATCTGATGATTCGTAAATTAATCTGTCTTTATAATTTGTTATTTAGATAAAAATTCTTTTTTCTGTCTTTGTAAAAATTTGTCACGATTTTAAAACATATATTGGCTTTTATATGTAATTATGTCTTGTATATTACACGATCTTGAAGTTTTTAATGTTTTTTTTTTTTTTTTTTTTTTTTTTTTTTTTTTGCAAAGAAAAGAGCTTTAAATTAGGCATTAAGCAACCGCGTTATGTATTAGCACTTTGAGAGGGTTCTTTATAAAAGCTATTATTAAATGGTCTGAGTACCTTGCATTGAAGTAAAATTAAATAAATATTTTCGAAATGTAAATAAAAAGAATTATTCTTAAGTTAGCTTAATTTATAACAATAATAATTGTTTTTATTTTCTGTGTTTTTTAATAGCCTCGTCATCTAACAGAGTAATATTTTCAGAATTCCATTTTCAGAAGAAGAAAAGTTTACGTATTCGAAAATATACATTGTATTAAATTTATTCTATAATATAATTGAAATTTCTTTACGCTACATGAAGACTTCATCAGGTATAGAGTCTTGAAACTTATTTATACTTGTCAGGACATAAGACTCTATAACGCTAAAGTGAAATGTTCTAAAGAAAGAATTTTTGCTGTTCTTCTTAAAGCCCAAATAAATATTTAATCTATTAACTGAATTTCAAATTCTGTTAAGTCAGATTTTATACGTTCTTTTAATTTTTCAAAGCTTATAATCGTTATACTCTAGCAATTTTTTGTTTTAATTATCATTTTTATACAAAGTTCTTATAGTTTCAGAAAGGGGAAAAGTACAAACACTTTTTTTTAAATGAGCTAATTATAGCAACACATTTCCCGAGCCTCAGAGAAAAGACTAATCATTCTAGTTAATTCCATCTCAATTTGCCATTATGACCCAATCAAAATTAGGCTGTGAAAGAAAAAAATCAATGACTGAACGCAATGACATTTAATTACAGATTTTTTAAAAAAATTTCCTTGTTAATTAATTTCGAGAAAGCACTCAAGGCTTACCTGGTAGAGAGAAAGGATGCGTTCGCGGAGAATGCAAATGAAATCGGCTCGTTTAATTTTTGAAAGTGGGTTTTATCTAGATGAGTTAAATTATTTAATGTGTAATTAATTGGCTATCTGACAGTCCAATTTAAAGGATGTCACAAATAAATAAAGAGTAACCCGACTCGAAATCGCAGATTTGTAGCAGCAGCGTATTCATTAATAATCGTCGAAAAAATCAGATAAACTAGTTCTATATTTCAGAAGTGGCTATCACACTGCATTTGCAACAAGAAGAGAATATTTAGCATGATTGCGCATTTATTAAAAGCAAAATTATGGTCATCACCGAAAATTCATAACTTAAATGTAGAATTCATAATTTAAGTTGGAAAATTCAAACACTTTAAAATATGTAAATGTTACCTATTATAATAATCATTTGTTTTGAGCTCTCCAGTAATTTTCTTTGAACTCTCCAGTAATTTGTTTTGAGCAACAAATTACTGGAGAGTCCCATTCTCGATTTAATCAGAATCACAAATGTCTACAAATCAGTTTCTTAATTAGGTAATTAGTTTCTTTAGAATTCACATACCTCTAATCATTTAACATTTAAATTCATGCCAGAAAATATGTAGTTCATTTGCTTTATAAATGCTGTTATTTGTGACGAGTAATTAAATGCATTTTGAATTTTGTGATCATTTTATCATATCCCCATCAACGAAACTGCAATTTTAGTGCTGACAAGGCAAAACACCTCTTCCATCGATGAACTGGCGAGGGAGAGGGGAAGAAGTTCTTCACTCCAGCAGATTTATAAATTTTGCTAATTTGTTATTTAGATAAAAATTCTTTTTTCTGTCTTTGTAAATCCTTTATTACCTGTAAGATTTCTCTGCTGACAAGATGGTTCATCGTGAACACCGTACAAAATCCTCAAAACTTGATTAATTTTCTACGCGAAACTGCCATTTCCTTAATAACCCAATTACTGGGAATCAAAAGCCACAATAATTTTCCTCCCTATTTTGGTATGGATGATCTTCAAAGTTTCACTCATGTTTTTGAGAACTGCTTGTGTACTGAGTATCTTGTAAAGAATCAATAAACCTATTTTCCAAATTGGAATGTTTTCCTTTTCTCTTTATCTCTACTTCAATTCTATCAAATTATGAACTTTCAAACCACGAGAACAGCAGTCTTAATATCTAATTTTATAATCGAAAATGGATAAATGAAAATTTGGAGAAATGAAAATATTTATATATGCGTTATTAACTAACTGTGCCTTAGATATTAAAGAGACAAATAAATATTTTTCAAAACTTGAAAGCTTATTTCGTCCTTAAATGCGTAAAAATACACATGTTAATTGTAGAAATAACAGTCACACATTTGTCAGTATACGATTATTATTAGGTTAATAATTCATCAGAGCAATAGAAAGCTTCACCCATCACCTGAACAAAAATTACTTACTGCCGTAAAGGAACACTTGACGCTTTGCACGTGGTTTGTTTAAAAAGAAAGATCTACATATACGTTATGCATGAGGAATCATTATGCATATATGTTATGCATGAAGACATTAGTATCTGAGAGACGTGTGCGAAGCAAGAAATATTAAATGCTTAGTAAAAAATAAATTAAAAAAATTCTGCATAGTTTTGAGAATTTAAAATTCTGAATTCTAAGCTAATTATAATTGTAAGAGCATCAGCATTAATTTCATTATCAATTGGAATTTTATACTAACTTTGCTATTAAACTGGCAACGGGTCTTATCTTATTGTAGTTTTATTTATTGCCCAGTCTGAAGCTAGAAAGTTGCTAAACGCATTAATTTTAATTTTCGGGGCCTCACGTTTTTATTTAAAAAAATTACATGTATGTTAGCAGATTTTCAGAGATGTACTTTATTTTCCCTCCTTTTTTGGTATAAAATTGCTTTGTTTTCATAGTCTTTTTTACAGCATTCCAAAGTTAAAAGAAGTTTTAATTAATTACAGCGGTAATTATTTATGCGTGACTCTGATCGTTGTTTACACTCCAGTATGGCCAAAAGATTTTAATAATCACACTAACCAAAACTAAATCCAAAACTTGTTAGTTTAGTCTAGCAGCAAACGACAGATGATCGTTTTATTTGTTTCTCATTCAACAACTTAACAGTTGACATTATATATTATTTTCGGGCAAGCGACAGATATAACCTTGAGCACACGCGTGAATTTTCCTTCTATAATATATCAAGAGTTGCCTTTGCGTGTGATTAAACACACGAGTTTGTTTAGAAACAGAAAAGGAATAGCAAAACTAATTGTCAACAAAACCTCACCTGCGCAGAAACGAAATCCTGTGGCCCCGTAATTCTCTTTGTGTGGCGGAATCCAGAAGAAGAAATTGAAAACAGCACTCGGGTAAGAGCGGCGCTGTTAATCCAAACTTCGTGGGACACCCGAATCCTACGGCACCGGGACTTGTACTACGGACCACTGGCTGCGTCCCTCTCGGCCGGATTCCGAGGGACCTTTCCATTGGCCGTGACGTAAAATCCCAGCTCCGCCCGCCACGCGATCCGCCCCCGCTGTCCCGTTCGCGGATTGGGCCGTTCCTCGTCTTCATCTTCGGAATGGCGACGCATTCGATAGCGACTGCAGGGATCGTTGTCAGCTATTAAAACGAGTTCCAACTCCGATAAAAATAGCCACACTTGAATAATGAGGTGCGCCTGTCGAAAGAGATAAAAAAAAAAAAAAAAAAGAAGATAATAATAATAATATCTCTCATGCAGTTTTAATGCAATTTTTTTAAACGTGGTAAAAATAACTCTTTCGAGTTTTCAAACATCTGCAACGCTTTTCAACTATAGTTTTTGCACACTTTTTTAAATGTCGCGCTGAATATTTCAAACAGTGTCCCGTGTTTTACCATCGATATGAACATTAGCACTGGCACAACAAGCCAGTGCTAAAGCAGCCTTACTTTGGAAGTGAACAGCCCATTGAAGAAATCCATTACTTACATAATGTAAAGAAATAATGTAGTAGAAAAACACGTACATATTTACATAAAGAAGTTTTAAAAAATATTTCGAAGTGTTCCAATCAAATTATGCAAGTAAAAAGTAGCTAATGAAAAGTACAAAATATAAATGGTGGTATCATAAATCAAAATTATATGATGCACGCATGTTCGATAAAATTGTCTTTCATTTAAAATTACTTTTTCCTTGTAAGTTTCTTGCTTGTTTTTGAGAGATTTTGCACTGTTGAATCCAAACATAGCACTTATTTTTCCAGATTTAAGGGAACCAAGGAATTAATCTCTCTTAGAATCTCCACTCTTTTATCCTCAAATTTAACAGAGAGTTTCATAAGAAAAGATGAGACAAAAATCTTTTTCTCTTTTGCCTTCTAAAGCTTCAAAAAGTAATCTGAGTAAATGGTGCCATATTTTGCTTCTAGGTAAAAAAAAAAAAAAAAAAAAAAAAAAAAAAAAAATTACTTGGTGATGCAATGATTTTTCCTTGCTCAACTAGTCCATTCCCGTAGGAAAAACTATATTTGGACAAACCTTCTTGCAGTCCTTTCAGTAATGCCGCAATCAGCATAAATTTTCCAACGATGGTCCTTTTCAGTGAGTTTTTGTAGCAATGTTCAAATATTTCATGGGTGCCTTTGATGTTTAGAGCTACAAGAATAAAAGAAAATTCATTCTCATGAGAATGAGTTAGACTGCCTTTGAATATATTTTGGAAGAATCGATGACAATATATAACAACTAAAAATTTAGTCGCTGGATTTGCAATTATCTTACGATAAAAATTTTTCCTTAAATAAATAGCCATGCTTCTTTTGCTTAGAATTGAAGTTTTGCTATAAACACCAATGTATTCTAAAAAAATGGCTATTAATATCGTGTTTTTAAGATAAATTTTGAAGTAAAGGGGACGTACTATTAACATAAATGCAAATATTTTGTTTGCAGAAATAGAATTACCTTCTCAGAAACCTCTCCGAAATATTTAGCTGCCATTTAGTCTGCATGTTCTTCTGTAAACTAATGATCCAGGTCACAGTTTTAACAGCATTCGCATCTGGAGCTTCAAATGCACGTCTGTAGCTTTGTTCTTAGGTTCTATTAACTAGGACCTAGGAGACAATGCAGTATTTCCCACCAAAGGGAACATAGTTATCAACAGTTTTATACTTTTTCAGTACTAAACAGGAAATATTTGAACATAAAATAGAATTGGCAAAGATGTACACGAATGGTAAAATTGGCGATCCATATCTTTATCGATAAAAAACTAAAATATTTCAGTGTTTTGTATTGTTTATATATGCCACACTAGAAATTAAAATACTTGGATTAACTGGAACCGCAGTCAATATGGATATTCGGAAAATCCAAATAAGTGGTTGTCTTTCCTTGTAAGTCAAATTTGTGATTATTATTCTATTACTGATAAGCTGCATTTCTCGTTTTATCATATTTTAATTCAACAACGAATGTGCGTTAAAGTAATAAAATATCTCTATTTTCATAAAGCAAAAGAAATCTTTTTTTTTTTTTTTTTCGAAATCATTACCGTATTTACTACACTAGCCCATTTTACATTTTAGAATAAATTATTAGACATAAAAATATAGAAGAATATAGGATGAGAACTCATTTGTTTCTGATTAGAATGAAAAGCAACCTACCGAATTAAATTCAATATTTTATTATGAGACAGAAAGAATAATTGAAGAAAAGTAATGATACATTCTTAACCTAATAAAATATTTTCTTTCTCCTTTCCTCATGCCTTCGTGGTGTAACTGGAAACACACTAGACGCGTAATCTAGAGGTCCGGGGTTCAAATCCCGGCGAGGACATTGCACATTTTTCCAAGAAAGTCTTTTACAATATTTTTTTAATGCCAACCAAACGTTCTTTCAAAGTTCTGCCATTGTTCTGATGAAATGTTCATCTTTAAGGAGCTACCGAATCTGCAGACCATAAACAAATCAGCCTTTACATTTTCAAACAGTCTCCTTCAGTTGGCAAGGCTCTAATCAATTGCTTCGTAAAATATAGCTTTACATGCAGAAGTGGAAATATAATGTACTTTCTGTCGACAAGTGAGATAGGAATGTTTGTATCATCTGGTTTAAGATCAGATCTTGACGGCCAATTCACTGCATTCAGTGCTTCTCGCAAGCTCTGCTATCCCATGCACATAAAGAATAAGGATGCTTGGTATATCTGCATTGCTTAGACTTAGACGCATAACTCATTCCAATTCAATTGAAACAATATGAACAACTTAAACAGGTAAATTAAAAATTTTATTTATGTAGACTCTAAGGTTAAGTATAGTGTACAATCTCGTGGCGATCATCTAGATGATCACCGCTAAAAGCGACCAGCATTTCTGTGAATGTAAGCAAACACCGGTATTGAATAAATATCACTTCTATAAGATGACCACATCTGTAGAAACCAAAATCATGGGGAATCGTGTGTAGTGGTCTAAGAAACTGTTCACTGGGCGAACGTATTTAGCTGTATCAAAATTAAAAAGCTTCTCGCTTCCCCTTGTGGGAAGCAAAATGTTTGATTCAAGAATAGAAGAAAAAAAAAGTAGGTCCATGATCAAGCGGGACATTTTCATAACAGTGCTCAGGCATATAAATGCTGGCACACTTATAGATAGATGAATTTGGAACTTCAAAAAAGTAACCTTCATAAGGGTAGCGGCGACTTTATGTCTGTGCCCCCGTATGTAGGTTTAGTTTTTCTTTGAATTACGATTTAGGTTTGAAAAAAAAAATCGGTCTTGTATAAGAGTGCTCTGGCATAGAGGTGCCCGGCACAGAGAAGTTAAAAATTAATCTTCATAATAAGGGTGAGAGCAATTATATGCCGTGGCACCTCTATGAAGGTCTTTCAAATTGCGGCCGAGCACCTTTATAAGAGCGCACCTTATGAAGTGGCCCCGAGCACCCGAGCAAACAACAAAAAATTAAAGTATGTTATTTCTCTAATGTTTGTAACTTACATATTTGCCGAGCATTGCAGAACCATCTGTATATTATGCATGTTAATGTAAATTAATTTAATAACGTCTTCAATACAGAGTAATGTATTGTATTATCATTTTGAATTTGTTTGAATCAACTAAAATACATATTAACTAAAATTAAAACACATAAATAACTTCATTAATTAATATAAGCTTAATTTTCATTGCCTTTAAAAGAACAGGAAGGATAATTGTATCTCCTGATACCCGGAATCTAGTAACTAGACAGTATAAATATGAGACCTTACCCAATACCTTGAATCTTGGTAATTAAAACTTACAAAAATACATTTTTTTAAAACTTAAAACCCATTAAACCTGTAAAAGTTTTTAATTACATTGGCAAAATTGTCTATCCTGTTGGGAATATATGAGTAATAGCATAAGGTTAATTACGATAGCAGGAAGATGATATATGTTTGTGAGTTTACGTTTCAGAGTTTGGCTAGAGCTAAGAATGTTTCAAAATATCAAGTTAAAGAAAAAAGTACTGTACTCATACTGAAAACTGTCACAACTAAGAAAACTGATTGCAGCACAGGACTCTTATAACCGTATCCTACTTTCTATTAATTTCAGTAAAACAAGCTCATTATCGTCAAAAATCAGATATAATTCAACCTCAATTTAAATTCTGTTAGCATATTTCCATTAAACAGTAAACTATTGGAGGAAAGATGAAGAGGTAAAGGGCATTATTATTAATATCATGTAAATTTATGAATTACAGATATCTCGTTTTTCTGTTTTAAGTTTCTCAAGGCCTGCTTTGTCTATCAACAGGGGAAAAAAAAAAAAAAAAAAAAAAAAAAAATAGAGCAGTTTAGTTGTTTTCTTCTATTTACTACGTAAAAGTATATATGATACTTTTAAGATTTCTTGTATTGTTTCTTTAATATAATATAGCAAAGGACACTAGATCTACCTACCTAAAGGAAGAAATATCTTCATGGAAGAGCGAAACTAGATCTTATTCACGTTATTTCGCTGAAACATCCATGCAGTAAAGGTTATTCCACAGGATTCGGAGCACGGAATAAATTGCCAGCATTTAGCACTTTGCCAATATTTATAAAATGTAAAAGGAAATTCTTTTTAAGCATTAATTTAAAAAAATTCAGAAGACAGGCTGAGATTTTGCATAATCAAATGAAAACGCAAAAGAGATGTATTTTATTTTTATTGAATTTTAATTCCTTTATTTATTTTATTCTCGATGTTGGCCAAACTTTTCGGCCACTTTACAGAATGTTAATAGATAGCTACAGGTTCTTGAATAACACTGTAAAATTCCCGACAGGCAGCTTTTGTAGAAAAATGTAAATTAGACAGAATGCTCAGATTTACAATAATCTGAATAGTCATTGCTTTATTTTTAATTTTAAAATTTATTTATTTATTTATTTTTACTTTAGTTCTTTTTAACACTTAAAATTCTTTTGAAATTATCCCAAATAATTTCCTCTTATTTCGATAATTACTCTAATTGGGAAAATTCTTCGATTTTCTAGGTATGCAAACATCAGTCTGAATGCTGTAGCCATTTAATACAGGACAACAAAGGAAGAAGTAAGCAAAACACGCAAAAGTCACCAATGGTTTTACGTGCATAATCCGCATAACTTACTATCCCAATTTCATCCCTCTGACTTCAAGAGCAGAACAAAAGGTCCTGCCCTCTTCCCCACCATCAAACCGGAAAGACATTCTGTTCACCAGTATTTTAAGTGCCCCATTTCACCATTAAGTACTGCATATTTACAAACATTCACGTTTTCTCCGAGAATCGAACCCGGGCCATCGATAGGGCAGCATCACTAACCTTTCTGTCGATCAGGACAGCGGCTCTCAATACACCGAAAAGGCCCGTAATCTTGGTGACAGATAGATTAGTTGGACGAGCGCCAACAACTGGCCCTATATTGAACTCAGTTATGTCCTCATAGTATGTTTTACAGTTGTAAGTATTTGAAGTCAATAGTAGTAACATTGCTTAAAATTCAACTTATTGCTACAATTATGTCCCATGTTTATGTCTTACAATTTTAAGTATTTGAAGTCAATAATAGTCACGTTACTTAAAATTCAACTTATTGGTAGAATTGACTTTGCTACAATTGATAAAAATCGAAATCATTCAGGATTCCTCACTAGCAGTTAGGAAGATCTTCTGAAACCTGGAGTGCTATACTAGAGGATTCTAAAATAATAAGTAAAATTTTAAACGCAAGTACAGGGCACCGAAATAAGCAGAGTGGAGCTTTAAGGAGGTTAAAATGGTCAGCTGGAATAAATCGTCGTTCCTCGTACGGATTCCAAGTGGTATGCATCACTACCCGAAAGTATAGAGCTCCTAGATATACATTTTATTCGTGGAAATGTGAACGAAAAAGAAGCACCTGTTCAAAGGATGTACAGAGAATGATTCTTGAATAGACAGTTGACGAATTGCGAACAGCTCAAACGTAATAACCAAAGCTGTGAATCTTGTGTTATTGTTGACGGTTGCCCTTTCTAGGACTATTGCAAAAAGTTTAACCTCTGGAATGCTTGTTTCTTTTGACTATATCTGTCTTACTTACTTAGTTGTTTTCTTACATACCTTACGTACTAAGTTCCATTTCTTCACATATTTTCCATTGCAAAATCTGCTTAATTTCAGTTCCATTTAATTTCTTGTCTTATACATTTTAAAATTACTCTGTATAAGACAAGTATGATAATTTCATTGCCCAAGCCTTGTGCTTTGATTTAAAGTTAACACCCAAAATTTAAAGCACTAAATCAATAAATTTAGAGGGGCGATTACATTAAAAAAGAATTAATAAATTAGCTGTTACTTGATAACTGACATGCTTAACATTAAAGTATCTCAAAATTAATCTTTTTATTAAGTTTAAAAATCTAGTTCATCTTTGCAATGATAAAAGCGGTTTCATTTAAGAACTATTAGAAAGCTTTTTATTGGGAATTTAGCGCTTAAGTGTATCTGTTCAATAACTAGATTTACTGAAAGAAAAGGTTAAAATTGTCAAAAGAAAAAAATTTTTTCATCGATGTTAAGATAAAAAGATTAAATATTTTTAGCGGTGCATAACTTACCAGTTGCTTTTAATATTA